CACAATAAATATATATATATATATATATATATATAATCTATGAAGTTGTGTGTGAATTGTTTAAATACATTGTTGCAGTATGTACTATTGATCAAATTTTAACAAGAAGCCAGTGGAATAAATCAAACCAAATTCTTCATCTGTAGACTGCACAAAACTTGCTGGTGAACAAGTTCCAAAGAAATTGAGGGTAACCCAAATAAGCGATCTTTTGTTTCACTCCCGTCAATCCCGGAAGCTGGTAGCATAACCACCCTGTGTTTGTATTTCAGTGATAATCAAATATACCTGAGTTCCTAATTGAAAACTGCAAATTTTCTTATTTACACCAACCTTCAGTTTGACTCTGAATCAAACGAAAAACACTCAGTCCCGCATTTGCTTTTGGTTCATCTTTTATTAGAATGTAATGCCCTCAGGGTATCAAGCAGATTCATAACTGTTTGCTACAAACTTATTTGGGTGCAAACCGTCACAACTAGTAATCAAGCACCGGCTTCCTCTATTCTACATGTGTAATTTCACAGATAGGATGTTTTCTCTGTAGATGTGTTTAAACGTCTTGTAAGACGCGGGCGCTTGGTCAGCTAAAACCAAACATACACTGATCCCTAATAGCATTTAGTTGCTGGTCCATCTCCGGAAGATCTTAAATAGGAAGCAAAAAACGAATGACCAAACTATGGGGCTGCCGATATCGTGGCCTTTTGACTATGAGCATTGAATCAGGGCAAAAATTACAGTACTAAAACGCCAGTGATTATATCCTATCATTATTATCACATATTAATTTCCCCGTCATCCAGAAACAGTAAGCGATGTGGACGGATGTGCCGACATCAGCTGTCATGCTTTTCCACTTAGCGGAATGTATCTAAACAAATAGTGTAATCTACTGTTTCAAGGTGCATTTTTATTGCTCTGTGATCGGTTTGCTACTGTCTTAAGGTACACGGTTAGTATAAAAATAAGCATACAGTTTTGCCATCAAAAACCAGCTGGACAAGTTGTGTTAATGCAACGATGATGCGCCAATGCATTCGGAGTGCAAGGACCAGGATGGAGCTCGCTGTAAGTTTAAACAAATAAGTTAAAGTTCCTCGAGACTACAGTTTGATTTTGTAATCGTATATTTCGGTATAACGTATTTTGGCATAACGTGATATCCGTTTGCAATCAGGTTTCCAAGAACCAACTTTATTTCGGAATCTAGTCTGTTATGAGCCCATCTCAGTAGGTACTTATCTACGCTCCTCTCAAATCTCATGCCAACGAATCTATGAAGGTTCATGTTATTATCATCAGAAATTTAGAGGAATTATTCGGACGCTTGTGCACAATCTCTCTAAATGTGTTTGGCATGAAACTCTGAAGGTTATACGTTATAAGAGCTTCAATAGAGGTTAGTCCTCTGACACTTGGTTAGCCTGCAACTTAGTTAGTATTCTTCTCCCGGACCACAATCATGATGGCTAATTGACGCAGTCTGTATTCCCAGAAAATCAGAAGCAAACCTGACTGTACGTTATACGCCGTCTGTTTTTCTGCAGAAGTTGCCTTTCCCTTCAGCAAATACAATCAACCAAATCATCCATGTTTGCTATTTGCAAATAACAACCAAAATTTTTAACTGTCAGCGGCTAGAGTGCCGTCCAGAATGTTGGACACCAGTTCTCTGGTACCTGGCTTTCTATCGATTCACCTGGACATGATCAGAACATATGTTGATGGCTTCAATTTTGCTGAACCGTAATTGNTGGGACGTGAACCTTTCCTGGAAACTCGTGAATGTGCGCGGTTGAAGTGATCATAGTGCACAAATGTATGCATTTAAGCAGAGAAATTGTCACTTGCCTGAATATAGACCGTGAAAATGCCGCATTTTTCTGTTGGAACGCTCACTACCTGAAATGGGACGAAAATTTATTGTTAAGGCCTCGCAACACGAGGAAATGTTTTCAAATAGGATGACAGCAGTATACATCTCAGTCCTTTGCATTTTACGAATTGGTTTTTAACAGCTGGGTCTAGCGCTTGTAATTAAAAATAACAAAATGCTTCGCCCTGAAAATTACTGATGCACAATCTGAAAAATCAAGATTCCACAAAGATTGAATCCGGTTTCGTTAGTGATTTGCTGATTCTTTTGGACAATGAATTGTGATTCATCGAACTTTGAGCATAGTAAAGGCGGAAAACGGTATAAAAATTGTCACCTTAAGGCAACGCTCGTTTTGTTGACAATCTCCATCTCCTACAGGTGTGTTTCAAGTCCTAGAAAGTGTCCTCTATACTTTGTTCTACGCTTCAGATGAAAAAGGCGGACAAGTTCTGTGGTCTAGAGATTCCTTTCTGCTCAGAATCCAAACCCCATTTAGATTATCATTTGTGAGCATACGTATAGTTACTGTCATGAACCGCACTTCCGTGTAATCTCGCGAAGCAACTTTGCAGATGATACTCAGATTAAGGGTGAATAGATCAGATGCGTTTTTGTAAACTTTAAGGGGCAAAAGACTCGTAATTATTATTTGTGTTCCAGCCCAGTCTGAGCCTATTACTCAGATGCTTACGTTGGACTGTTCTTTTGAGTCTGATGTACAGCAAACCTCGGCAAATCATTTTAGTACCCCTTAACGACCACTTAAACATTTCATAGAATTTGGATTTTGAAGAGTGATAAACTTTCACTGTTTAAAATTTGATTGATACTGGACAGTCTTTTGTGGTCCACTTGAGATAAAAATAACATAAAAAAAACAGACTTGGTTGTCGTTGTGATGGTTTATCAAAAAGCCATCAGAATTGCATGTTTCCTCTTATCATTTTCATTCGTAACTTAGTGATGAGCCAGACTTACTCGTCAGACAGGTAAACCAAGGCAAAACCGATACAATGCAGTGTCCCGTTGGAATAATCTCTGCTTTAACATCTTACATGTATTGGCAACGCATGTTCTAACAGTGCAATCAAGAGTGTCAGGCTTTCCTTCTGTACTCCCACAAACTTTGCTTCCGAAGAGGAATCATGAATTATTCTAACACTAGTCCTGACAGTAAAAGTAAACAACCTTATTTATTTACTCAGCGGGTGAGATGGACAACTAGGAATAACAAAATCGCCGGTGACCGAGAAATTGCATCGTTCATACCATCCCTTTGTGTGAGCGGCAGCCTGTACGCATAAACCTCAATTTTGGAAAGTCATTTGTTGTGCTTTGATTTATTGTGATTTATTGTGGCTTTGAGTTCCTGGGTAAATGGTAGTCCCAATTATTTACTTTTAACACTCATGCCAGTACTCTTGAGAGGTGCATACCAAACATGAAAATTCATATATTGTTTGCATATATGCTCGCCCTATCAAGAGTTACATCACAGAATTCAACGTCTATATTACTTAATACCGAAATTATAGGTTCTGCTTTGAGGGGTGGAACTAATGGCAGTTTAACGCTTGACGTTCCAGAAATTTTGTTTCACCAATCAAGATACTCCCACCACGCAGCCTTACATACGCCGAAAAGGCCCCATTCAGATGAATCAGCGATATTTTCAGGGGTTAAGCGCACAGGCTAAGAGATATATGCTGTCTGATGGCCGGCAGTATGATTAGCCCACTTGTTCTACCCGTAGTCAAACTTTTCTCAGTCAGAAATTGTTATTCCAGATAGTAAGGATGTGTTTGACCGAGCTTTGAGGCAGGCGTAGAAATAATTTGCAGGATAGTTTTTTAAAGCAGGCTAAGTCAGGTTAGCTTCTTCATCACAACTTGCTAGCACATGGGTATGTCAAACCAAACAAACCGGGTTCGCGATCAGTAGCTGTTTTTACTCAATTAGGGACAAACCTACTCGACGCTTTCTTCTGATTTCATGGGTAAGTACCAATGAATTTTGCTCTTCACTTCAAACATTTCATATCTGATGCATCATCATGGTATCTAGTGCATCGTTCACGTCTCGACAGTATTGGGTATTTCATTGTCATTCTTTATTCACTGAGAAGATTATTACTTCGGATAGCATAGAAAGTTGAAGTGGATGAATATTTTCATGCCTCAGCAAACAGTAGTTGGGGTGTCGGAATCATTAAGCTTACTTTTGCAAAAAGAACGAAGTGGTTTTGAGCTAGGGTACATCTGTTGCACAAGTCTAGACTAATCAGACCAACGCACTTGAGTGTGAATTTTTAATTCAGGAAGTGACTTTTTTGGGGTGAATTAGGTAGACAAAAAAGGACAAAATCAATGTTGCTCCAGCTTTCTATTAGAAAAGCATTTTGTTGATTAAGCTCCCGTATGATATATACCTGCAACTTTACCCTATAAGAGCTTGTTATTCTCCGCCAAATCATGAGTTTTTTTTTGGAATGAACACGCCGAATCCTCTTCCAAGTATACGGTTACGCTGAGTCTCATCATTTGTTTCCCATTGTAGGTCAGCATGTTTTTAGATGATAGAGGTTCCAGGTTCCAAGGCCTTCGGATTCCAATAAGAAATACAGTAAAATATTTTATACCGCTTATATTTTTTCTGGTCGGCACATCGAGTGAAAGATGTCTTCGTGGTTTGTGTCATTTAATATGTTTTTAGATGGTAGAGGTTCCAGGTTCCAAGGCCTTTGGATTCCAATAAGAAATACAGTAAAATGTTTTATACCGTTTATATTTTTTCTGGTCGGCACATCGAATAAAAGATGTCTTCGTGGTTTGTGTCATTTAAGATTTTCCTTGAAGTATACAAGACAAAACGGAAAATATTCACAATGCTCCTACATCAGCCGTTTACTAAAAGGTTTGTTGGATTTGAAGACATTTTGTGACCGTTTGTTGTTATGTGTCAGCAATGTTTAGTAACCTGGCAGATTTTATGGTTTATCTGTATGACCCTATGTTTCAGCAGCTCTCAGTGGTGAGCACTTAATGGAAACAGGACTCTCTTTCTTAGCGAATGTGCTCCGATTGAGAGATTCATCATATTATTATACAAGCTCGAGCTGATAAATTTTCGTTCACAAAAATTTCCATCACTACTTATGTGACTAATCCAAACGACTGATTTCATGTTGTCTACAAAAGTTCTCAAGGCCTACCAGTATCACTCAAACATGGTTGCTAGACTCCCGCTATAATATACTACATACATTGTTTACATTGGGCGCTACCTGTTGAAAACTATTTCTCAAAACTGTGATTTTTCTTTGGTCACGCAACACGGACCAAAAGAGGAAGACGGTCAGTGGTTCTTCACATCCCTTTTGTATTCAATTTAGGTGAGGTCTGGGTCTCGCCAACAACCGTCTGTTTCCCTTTTTCAGTTCACTACTCACCCATATTATAAACAATAAATTAATAGTGAGTTCACAAAAATTTATTTTTCGTCAATCAGCTAAACTATTCACTCTACTTAGAGTTAGTTGTACCGCACGCAGGACACTATTTCAACACATCAGCGGCCGTGGTGTAAACATGTGAATACACCTTTTGTTGCTCAGTCAATAAAGTCAGTCTGTTCCATTCTATTTTGGATGAACTTCTAGACTTTTATACTTACGACCTTTTGATCAGTGGAAGGGAATAAACCATCTGGCGAAAAGTAACTGGTTGGAGGTATGATTAACTCGCTCTTTGACATAACTGAGTAATGACATTTACGTCAGGCAGTCACCTACAAGCATTTCTCTAATTTTCAATGACGGTGGAACTGGATACCTTATACCGAGACGAGCGGTGAAGGTCACAGTCACCGTTTCTTTAAAGCGGCAATGTGAGATAATCAGGCACGAGTCTACGATGACACTCTTTTTGTTTATTAATCTCAGATTCAAATTTATTACACCGAGTAGTCCGAAACTTAGCGAAGAATTTTCTCCCAACAACCTATCTTTGTCATAAATTCCCTTTTGACTGTAATCCCAATCGACCGTCAAACTAACAGTCAGCAGCTGGTGCATTCTGTGAGCTACGTTTTCTCCTCAAAATTAACCACACTTAACCAATTTGGCTTGCTTGATGATTTTATGCTTCTTATGAAGGAACCTAGGAAGACAGTATCGTACAACATGAATACACCCATGTCTATGTAATGAATTAGACTTGAAAAGACATCTCAATGCAAGTTTAAAAAAGTTCTTTGATTTCCAGGGATGTATACCGTATGTGTGCGTCAATGAAAGCACGCAACAGGGTAGTGATAACAAAGCCAATGCACGTGCACTGTTACGAGGCTTTTTTAGAACACGATTACGTGTATTTCTGAACAAGCGGAAGGCCTGCCCACTGCCACCTTTGTCTGTTGTCGATAAACATCGCAACAGATGTCTATAAAATGGTACATCAATATGTTTACGAAATATTGTATTTGATAACCATTTTAACCGGCGAGTCACGCAGCAAATAGGCTGAACTTGTTGCCACCGCTTTTGCCTTATTTTGCTTTGTGCTTTGAAACTTTCTCCTCTGGTCAACAAAGGGACGTTAGGTTTTCCACTGTTCGTTAAGCATGCGCACGTGTCATATGTGGATCCGTGTTTACCAACTTTTCGACTCTAGACTAATTTATCTTTATTGGTGCGTGACAAACTGAGTAGATGTTACATGAAGCAAACAGAAGGGATAGAAATTTTTAGGGTTCCAAATATTTGCACTGGTTTTCGTGAATTTTTCTGGAGATTTCCAAGAAACAAAAATAATGCATCACCTTTTTTAATCAAGTCCACAAATGAGGCACAGAGAAACACCGAATTTTGGATATTGATAATCTGGTGAAAACAAGTTTATCGGAATTAAATTGTTAGCAAGTGTTGGTGAATTTTTCCCACCCGCAACATCCTTTGGATCTTAATAAGATGCTAAGTAATGGGGCGCACACCAAACATTTGTATAAAGAAAAAGGTTTTAGTAGT